AAGCACGAGGATTTCGCACAATGGAGGTTGGGTGGCGTATATCTCACATGAGTGAGAGTGTCATGGGTCACGTTAAGAAGGAGCCGTTTCAGCCTGACTCTCAGCGCACCAGTCTGCTACTCCATGCAAGCACCCACGCAAGTGGGTAGACTGTGCGGACTGAGCTGGGGCGTCGGTCCGCGACCTTCCGAGCCACGGTACTTGGCGCGTTGGAACAGTCTCAGAGTCGAATCGAACATGTATCAGTGGAACCGCACGGAGACGGAGCCGAGACCCACACTTTCAGCTTGCGTGAGAGGTAGCAATTGGACGCTTGTGGTGGATGATGATGTTGCCTGATGTAGATGGAGGAAGATGTGACGGTGTGGTTTAGCTGGCGGTTATCTGCCACAGGTTTTCGTGAATGCGCATGTGGGCTAATAGGCCCATGCGGTGGGCGAATGTGCGGGTGCAGTGAGGGCAGTTGAGGCGGATGCGGCGAGTATATGAGGGTGCTCCAGGCACTGGTTCGTCAGTCTCTGTACGATGGATTCGCAAAAGACAGACCAGGCCGATGCGTGAGATGAATTTACGATGACAATGGGGACAGAAAAAGTCGGCGGTGTCAGTGTCGGTTTCGAAGATGGCGACGGCGGTGATGGAGCTGTTGATGATGGACGCGCTTAGCAACGGGGTGTGTTTTGAGCTAGGCATGGTGGGGTGTGCAAGGGGTGCCAGGTGTATCGAGACTGCGGTCAATTCCGCTGTCGTGGATACGCATATGACCGAAGAGGCCCATGCGGTGGGCGAATGTGCGGGTGCAGTGAGGGCAGTTGAGGCGGATGCGGTGAGAGTAGGTTGGTGCTCCAGTCTCTGTGCGATGGATTCACAAGTGTCCGACCAGGTCGATGCGTGAGGTGAAGGTGCGGTCGCAAATAGGGCAGGTTTGGACCGAGTTCGCATCGCTGGCGTTGACGGTGGGAATTGTGTACAGTGGCGGCGGATAGAGGAACCACCGCAGCGGATGTTGGGCCGATGGAGGAGGAGGAGGAGGAGGAGGAGGAGGGGGGGGGGAAGAGGAAGACAATGAGGATGGTAGTGGGGGTTCAGGAGTGCGGTCATCGGATGGGCGGAGACATCGGGTGGTGTCGGCCGGGTATTAAGATGCCCAATAAGCCCGATTGGTGCCCAGAATGTCCGCTGACATCCCGAACAGGCTGGGGGCGGTTGAGCGTTGGCGTTAAGAGGTGGGCATGGTAGAGATTTGCGAGCCCCGCGTTTCGCCTTGGTGGCGGTAATGCGGGTGGTTTCGTAGATTGTCGTGCCGGTCTTCACTGTTCTCCTCCAGGCAGTTCGGTCCAGGGCGAGGTCTTCTTAGTTGGCCGGGATGATTTGCAGGCGCTTCAGGGAGGTCTTCAGAGTATCCTTGTAGCACCGGACTTGACCTCCTTGTCGGCGGGAACCCGTGGTGACATCTCCATAGAAGAGCCGTTTGGATAGCCGCTCGTTGTCCATGTACACAAGGTGGCCGGGAGAGGACACACACATACAATACTTCGAGCGTCATTGCCAACTATGTTCACCGTGTGCTCCACAACAAGGTGAAGCAGGGCTCGGTGACTTGTGCGTGATTTGGTTCACAGACGGTAGACTTGCGCACACTCTCCACTCCTCCCTATCTGGACCCGGTGTCAAGACATAGTCAAGACATAGACTAGGTTTATGACAACAATAGAGGGCGGCAGGCGTCTCAGTGTGCGCGACGACTGTCGGTAACCGGGTCTGCCACCGCACCGCGAAACATTGACATTTTTTATGGTGTACAATTCCGATTACGCCTGCCAGGATACGATATGGCTCCCGTGTTTATTCCAGCGCATCTAACACGTAGTCCATTTGGGGTGCACACCCGACAGTTCGACCGCGGATTTCGACAATGTCCACCCTGTGCTCCACAGTAATGTGAGAGCAGGGACGGTGACTTGCACGTGAATTAATTTATAGTGGTAGTGGACTTGCGCAGCGTCCACCGCACTCCCTCTTCCCCATTCCCCACCTGGACCCGGTGTCAAGACATAGTCAAGAAGACCGAATGCGGGGGAGGGCGCAGGTGGATGGCACGGTCGAGCCCGCACCTTGGCGCTCCAATCCACACCCCCTGGTCCACACAATAAATGACCAAGTTTTTGATCAACAAAAACAATAGAGGCGGACAGGGGTCTCAGTGTGCGCGACGACTGTGAGAAACCGGGTCTGCCATCGCACCCCGAAACATTGGCATTTGCTGTGATGAGCAAATCCGATAACGCCTTCCGGAATCCGATATGGCTCCCGTGTTTATTCCAGCGTATCTAACACGTGGCTCGTTTGGGGGGAGGGGGGCGGGGGCACACACAGACACGCCGGTTTCTACACGCGCTTCAGAAGTGGTAACATTTGCCAGTAAACTCCACATTAAGACCGAACTATTTTATTGCTTGGCCGTCCTTAAGGTCATGACGTTCAAGCGAATCCCGAGAAGTTAGATCCATGCTGGATCGGCCTTACTTTTTCGTCCCTCACCCAATTGTAAGTCTGGAAATGAAATTCGGGAGAGTGGCTGGCATGGTGTCAAGTGCCTCCTTGACGTCTGTCACATGCGCGCTTGGCGCCCCTGTGCAACAGCGCGGCCCCTCCAGGGCGGACAACCCCGGGATTTGTGGCCGCCGTTCTGACCTAGTGCTACCGAGCATGAACGGACACTATAGCGAATGTAATACCATCTACGAATGTTGGACGGCTTTTGCGGCAGCATCTGGAAGGTAAACTCTCCGCTTGCATATTCCTGCCTCATAACCACAAAACATCAGAAAATTAGGACTGTACGATTACTGAAATAGTTCCAAAACAAAAGACTGTGTAGGCTTATTTGCCTTCTGTTTAAGGGGATTTTTCTCAACGACCCCTCCCTCCCCCCTCTGCAGTAACTGTCACCCTCTAATATAGGATTTAGAATAACGGTCTGTCGGACTGTCTAAAGCGTCCAAGCCCGCGCCTTTGACTTGGGCAGCTGTACTTGTCCTCCCGGCGGAGGACAGTAAGTTAAATGCATTTAGCTGGACAGTCAGGATCCGGCTGCAATCCATCTTATCCAGCAGCATATGCTTAGGTGTGAGAGCCTTGCCCGAAATTCGGAAATATGTGCTAGCTCTAGATGGCTATCCGGAAAAGTAGGCAATCACTCTGACTGGCATTTTCATTTTAAGTGTAGTCATACTTCGGTCTTGTAGGTGGTTATCGACTTATTATGTGCCTAGCGTCAATGCGTACCAGTTTCAAATACCCGGAGAAGAACCAAGAAATATCACCGACAAAGATAAAACAGATTGGAGTAATCATTTTTGGTTCATTTGCTGTTATCAGTCAGCCATAATTTAACCGGAGGCCTTGGCAACTCTGAGGTTTAGATCTGAATCATCTGACCACCAAGCACCTAAGTCAGGCGCTAATATTTCGTTCTGAGATTAGACCGCATATCTGAACAACACTATTAAGGAACTTGACAAAGAGGATTAGGCGGCTAGGTTATAGTTTACGCACACTTACGTAAATACGTGTGGGGCGAACTGACTCGACAAATAAAATACAGATCGATCTGCGCAGTTCAAGATGACGAATTTGTTCCAGGTTTTTATGGGATGCCTACTTTCAACTCAAAACATCACATGTATATGAAACTGAAACACGAACATAAGCTTGTCCTAGCTGCTGAGTTATAATGATTCCTGCCATGTTAACTTGGCGTGATCATAAATAATTACACTGCTACAATTTCTACCAACCAACATTACTCAATTTGTTCATATGCCAAGCCCTTGTGGTAAACTTGAACGTGACCCATTCTGGTCAAAATCATGTTTTCCGTAGGCATGGTCGCCTTTCACGTGAATGACAAGAATGTATGCAACATTTCACACGCTTCAAACAATACCAACAAATGAGCTATAAGAATACGCAATGTCCAATTACCGTCGACACTAAAACAAAAAACTACATCCAAAAATTTAATCAGGGCAGTGGACATGAGCCCATATCCGGCACGCGAAACCTGCATAATGCCAGAAGGGTATAAGATGTGTTGAAGAAGCAGAGGGCCGTTCTTTTGCCTCGTTATAATGAATAATCTCGGGAAAAAAGTCGCAATCCTTTCAGATGGAGAAGAGTACACCAAGTTGACCGATTGGCCAAGGGATTTATTTGCGGGAAGGAGGCGAAATTCCGTAAGTAAGACTCCCCGCAATTTGGCCCCCATTTTCCGCTAGTGTCTTTCGAGATTTCCACACTTTGCTCTTATTGTTCTCTTTGTGTACTGGCCAAGTGCCTGCAATTTGTCATTGCCTTCATAAGGTAATCATTTGCGCTGAACTATTATTAATCGCAGGGATCGGGTCAGGAGGATGACGATGTGACACGAGAAGAACAGTTGATGTTGAATTTCGTCTTAAATGTATAACTCCTACAGGTTTAGGAAGAGGAACTCTAAGTCCAGTGGCTATTTCATCGTCCCAAAATTGTTTATTGAGAACGGATAATAATTGTGGCTTCAGAAACGGTAAGGATGCCTGAAAATACGTCTCCAACTCCGGCCAGGAGGCCAATCCCTTATTCTATGGGGAAAGGTTCTTGAACGGGTTCAGTCCGCTGCTGGCCGTCAAAACGCCGGCCACAATCGACTCAGGTTTCGGCGTCCCTACCGTCTGGTAGGGTCGTCATACATTTTTCGGCCTACACTGAAGGCCAGAGTCAGTCAAGTTGCGTGGATCAACCCGGCGACTGGCTCAGGTGAATCAATACTGCACGTCCCTCTCTACTGGAATCAGTCAAAGGAGTGTACGAAAGGCAGGTGATGACGAGGTCGATGGTGCGGTACGCTTCACGCTCAACGGCACGCCACGTCGGCGACGGACGTGTTGTGTTAGCATGTAAGGCGCAGTTCAAAGGTCAGCCTAGAGGCACCACGCCTCTACACTTTCAACCTGAGCCTCGCCAGCCCTGACCAGTGCATGCCGGCGTGAGATTGGTTTGTGCGTTGACCAACTCATTTGCACGCCTGCCTTCCGCACGCGCGTGTGGGTGTGCGTGTATCTCGTGGTGCTCCTGGTGGACATGATGCGCTTTCACTGAACCTCCCGCCCACCTATCACGCTCACGACAGCCACGCCAATGCATGCATTGTGCATATGCGAGCGCGCTTCAGTATCGCGCGTGGGGGACAAAGTGGCCAAGACCCCCTACGATCGACATTGCAGATATGCAAAAAGTGAGGCGCATGTACAGGAAATCAACAGGACTGCGAAGCCGCTGTCAAAAGGCGGAAAAAATCATCGTATTTTCTCTATTCGTGTTACAGTACGGCCAAGCGATGTGCGAGTATCTAGACTCATTGAGGCAAAGAGGTGAGTCCCAGGAAGCAGCCGCGAAGAAGGAGACACGGTCGCAGGAAAAAGAGCTTTATTCGCCTGAATTTTCGGATTCCTGCTAGAACCCATTATCGGAGACAGTAGCAGATACCGCTACTTTGGACATAGGGCGTTGTAATGCAACGGGTCATTCTAGACTACGATCTAGCCATGTGCCTCCGACCAAGACCCAGGCAGACCGACCGGTCAAATTTCGACCAGCTTCCTAGAAGATTTGAGGGTTGAATCCGGCTTCGGCTGGTAAGTTAGCTAAACACTGTAAGCTGAACAGTAGATTTAAACCACTTCGGAGGCACCAGGAAAACATTCTCAGGCGACATGAGTCCACGGTCTGACTTCGTAGCGCTGGCGAAACTTCGTCGTCATGAGGAGGAAGGGGTTCTATTACCCGAACCAGGTGCCAAACATTGTTTTGTACCGACTTAAGTTGGGAAATGTCCTACTTCTGTGCGCTGACGTTAAAAGTCGGAATGATACTAGCTCCCGCGCGCGTTTCTATACAAAAAAACAGCGGTAACTAAACTAGCCTCAACTACAGGAGCCCCATCTCTCTGCTCTCAAAAGTAGCCGTGTTTCTGAACACTGTGACAAAAAAGCTCCACTCAGGGCGAGCTAACTTATCTCTAAGGTTTAGTTTAAGTGAACAGATATCCAATGACGCTG